GGCCGCGGGATGGGGGCGGGCGGGCGGGCGGGGTAACAGCTGGTTGTCCCACCGGGTGCCGGTAACGTTCGTCTCTGCTGCACGGGGTCCTGGCCGCGCCGCGTGCGTTACGGACCCGTCGCGAGCAGGAATCCCTGTGCACGCGTGGACTGGGCGCGTGGCCCTCGCCTGAGGTGACGCACAGTGCTTAGTGCCTCCATCGTTGCTCCCTCTGTTTTTTTCTTGCAGTCCAGGTTGACTTCACGGATAATTGGTGTCACTTTGGAGCCACTCGCCAAGCTGATTCACCTTGTTGCTCGTATGGCGGTTTCTTGCAGCAAGAACTCTGGACCTGGGTGGCCTTGGGGGAGGGGAAGAGGGCTGCAGCTCTGCTTTGGGCAGTATCATCAAGTTTATTCAGATTAAGGACATTAAACTGTGTCCTTGTAGGCTCCTCTGCCTCTTTGCCTGGCTACCAAGATCATAGGAGATAAAGGAAGTCATTTGAATTCATTTTTTTATAGGAGCAGAATTAGAGAGCTGCCTTAGGGGGAAGTAGAATAGCCTGGGACGTGGATCAGAGAGCAGAGGCTGGTAGTTTTGCTGAGGAGAAGCTGGTGCCTGCAACTGTCTGTCCTCCATGCGGTCAGGCTGTGAGTCAGCTCTCGTCCTGAAGCCTTTACGCAGTGCACATGCATTGGTATAAAGAGCTTTAAGTAGGTATGCTGAGCTTTACTTACAAAATTAATCTGGTTGGTACACCCTTGCTCTGTCTTGCTTTACATTCCACAGGCCAGCATTGGTATCGTGTGGCATTAAATTGTGGAGTTTGCTGCTTGCTGTCTTGCAGGTTTGTCTCTTAAGTAAGCGTGGATCTGTGCTTGTGTGAAATTAGGGTTGAAAGTTGCTTTTGCCCTGCAACTTCATGGGCAAAGCAAGTTTATGATTTTCAGAGTCTCAGCATGAAAAGATACTTTTGATCTCAGAGTAGATTGGGAAACAGTTGAGATACAAGATTTTTTTTCTTCTTGTGGAACGTTGCAGAGATGCAGCTTGTCTAGGACACTTTGCTAATAATGAGTGTTTATTGATACCCAATAGAAGAGTATGAGAAGTAAGGCAATTGCAGAATTATTGTTGATCTTTGTATGCCTTTCCAGTTTGCAGCCCAGTGAATCTAGAGGGACATCCCAAGTTAGAGGTTGTATTTGTGTTTAATGACTGTTAGTTGGCTTTTTCTTCCATCTGTTACTTGGTGCAATTGCTTCTGAATGTGTATGGGGAGGTTGTTTTGTTTTTTCTCCTCCACAGTGCCCTTAGTAATTGGGTTCTGTTTCGCATACAGTGCAGCAGGGTATGGTGCGTGAAGATGTCAGGGAGCTGCTAAAAAACACTGAGTAGTCTACTATAAAGGGGAGCAGGAAAAGGGGAATTCATGCTGAATATAGTCACCTTACACAAAATTCATTCTGTATTAAGTACTCCATGTTCAGCTTCTGAAGCTATGTCTGGTATCTGTATACCCATACACCTTGTATTTCTCTGTGTTCTCCTAAAATGGACTGGCTAACACTTCATATTGTATTCAAAATGTGGGTGCACTGAGTTCGGACAATAACATAATGATGATTCTGTTTGTCATTCTTTTAATATCTTCTGGCAAAAATTGTAGGAAGGGAACCCAGGGCCTAAAGAATCGGCAGTGCAACCTGGCTTTTTGTAAAAGAGTATGACTCCTGTCCAGGAAGAAATTGAACATTTTTTAAATCTGTTGCGTGTGAAAACCACAGAAGACCAGAGGTTAATACGTGTTGTACAAAACAGGCAGAGAGATACAAGGACTAAGGCTGGTGCTCTGGGAAGAGGTTTCTGACTTCTGACGCCGTAGGAAAGCTTCACAGTTGGTTCCTGTACCTCTGCTGTAGTGCACTGTAACATGCGCATGCTCGGACTTGCAGGGAGTGACTTCTCTGTAGCTTGTGCTTTGCATTCAGGTGATGTGTTTGTTGTTTTGATGTGTGCAGTACACAGATGGGTTAATATGTACCCACTCTGTGCTGTCATCTGTCTGTAGCTGAAAGCATGGGTTATTTGACTGGCTTGAAGGCTCAAGACATCCGTCCTGACATGGAGCTAGCATGTGAGCAGAACATACAATGGCTGATGAGTCCCACTAGTGATGCTGCTAAATTTTGAGCTGCTGTTTTTCTGTGAGGTCACTGTGTGTACTCCTGCGTACAAACCATGGTACTGCCCTTGACCGTAACTTAGGAAGATACGGTTCAATAAATACAATAGGTAGTCAGCCACTTTGGTGGCTTGCAAAGGAAATACTGTTTATGAAACCTATAGATGTGACCCCAGAGTTAGTGAGCAGAGGTTCCCTCTTATGTGTTAACATGTGACACTTTAAGTGACAGCTAAGTCTTTGAAAATTCCTCTCTTTGTATGGAACTGAATCTTTAGATTCAATTCAGGATTTTTCCTCATTCTCATCCCTGCAAAGCATTTGAAGATCTTGAAGAGGAGCATCGTTGAGAGATGAACAGCATGTTTTCCTACCATTGACAACATAGATTGTTCTATGATTTCCTTTTCTTCCCCCTACTGTGATACCCTTCCCTCTCTCACCCATCTTTCGGGAGCTTCAAAAAACTGCATGTGCCAAACCCGTAGAAAAGTGGCCTGATAGCTCAGGAGGAATTGGTTGTCTTCATTGTCATGTAGTTCAAATGTAGGATCTCTTCTTAATTTCGCTAAGTAGCTGACCTCATTTGGAAAGTGAAGTACAACATGTACAGCACCGAAGAGACTATCTTGTAGACTCTCTACCAGTTACATTTTTCTGTGTGGGCTTCTTCATTATAGTCCCTTTCCTATACGTACTTATTCTTGATCTCCTCATAGGATCAGACAATATGGCATGAAGGTCGACTGCCATCTACCCCGGTTCACAGATTCTCCCCACTGGCTAATTAAAGCACGATGCTTAATAGCTGTTCAAAATCTTGCTGAATTTGGCACGCTGAAGCTATTCAAGAAATGTCACTGAGGCCTGTGATAGCTGTAAGCACTAGCTGCACGTGTCATAACTGATGCCTTCATAAAAAGATTTCCTAAGGTGTTATGTGTGATGGCTCTGCTAGCTCCACAAATAGACTTTATTTTGAACTAGAACGTGATCTTATGAAATTGCTTACTAATTTACTTCATATTTTAAAAAATGTCATTGCCCAAATGATTTTTCTGAAGAATAGTTCACAGAGGTGAGATGAGGTTGCTATGATATTCTGGCCCTTTCCACACTGCTACTGAAGTATAATGTGTAATGTTATGGTAGACTGGGAGCAGAACCATATGAGCATTTCATATGCTCACTTTTAGTTTATAGTCAAATTTCTAGGCACCTTAAAATCTGTAATATAGATATTGGTTCTAAAGATACTCTTTTTCGTTGATTATCACAGGAATACACGCTGAAATCCAGCTTTAGAGGTTACCTTTTTTATGGAATTCATGTGCCTCTGTGTAAACATGGGAGGGGGATTTTGGTCTACCATTAGGTAGCGATTTTCGCACTTGCATAGGTTACATATATAGTCTTGTAGTTTTTTATCTTTTATCAGATCTCTGGACTTTTTTTTATAATGCATAAGTTGGCAGTAGGAAGAAAAATCCTATTCATGGAGTCCTACTGAATTATTCATATTTCTGGAGGTGGTTTTAAATATCTAGGTTCATCGTTCTTCATCTGTTTCATGAAATTTAATATATTAGAAAGTACTTCAAATGCATGATCCTGATAGTCATTCAGCTATCAGATTTGTAAAATTGACTTTTGAACATGGCCTCCAAAAACAGTTTAACTATATATTACATTAAAATAACATTTTGAAGACAAAATCAGTATGTTCTTATGTCAATAGAAGATTGTATGCTTTGCCTATCTGCAAAATGTATTTATTCAAGCTTACGTATTGCATTCAGTCGAAAGTTCTTTGCAGCAGTTTGTGTACAATCAATACATTTGTTTTTCATAACATGTTCTCATGGCCAGGAAAAGAGTGGTTTGAATAATTCCTTTTAGAGGAAAGTTGTTTGTTTTTGGATGATGTTTATTAAACATTCAGAAGCAATTCAGTCTAACTTGTTATACCTGCCTATTGGTCTTGAATTTTTAGATTTTTACAAAAGAAAGTTTAAACCAAACTAACAAAATGGATAGCTTCAAATAAGATGTATGTAACTGAGCAATTTTTATTATGTTATAACTTACAATGACTGCATTGTAATTTTGCAGTCTTCTCTGTTAATAATAGCAAATAATCTGACAAAAAAGGAGAGAAAATGAAAAGCATTGTAATTGTGAAAAGTAAAAGGACAACTTTATATATTCTGCTTTTTACAGAGGATACATGTGCAAAGATAAAGCAGAAAAGATATTCCTAGGGAAGCTTCTTGAAGTCTGTTCTTCTCAAATGTTTAAGCCTAATACTCTCTTTTTTCTCTCAGGTTTACGTTCTTTAAAAACAAATATGAATTTGATTATGTGGTTAAGGTCATCCTTAAATATAGTTTTAAATTTTTAATTTTTAGTTTGCTTAAAGGTTCATTTCCCCCAAGATATCACATAATTTGAGAAGTTTTAGTCACCAATCCCATGTAGTGATTATGACATTACTTATTAGTCCATTTGTTTTTTTTAAGCCATTTGAAAGTAAATGAGATTCTTTGAAAAAGTTTGTTTAGTTGAAAAAGTAAACTTTTTTCCAAGGCTATCTAATATTTAATAGATTTGCTGCAATCTGTTGAACTCTTGTTGATACATACCTGATAATTCCTGTTGTCCACTAGCACAACGTAATATTAAATTGAGCCATGTGGGTTTTTGAATGTGCCCTTCCTGTCCCTAGAGATAGGGAGGTGCAGAAACATGTCTCATGTGGATAATATAATAATTGTGTAAAACCATCTCATGTAGTCCCTTTACCATTTAATTTCTGCATGTAGAACAGTATGATCATATCATGCATTGGCTATTGCCTGTCGTTAGAGTACTTTTTAGTATTTTTATAAAGCACTATGATTCAAACCTAATTTCTGGAAACTTGTTTGTAATTGTTTGGTGTGCGATTGATTGCCCTGGACACTTAGATGTATGATCATTTTGCTGGGGGGAAAAAATTATGTTGTTTACTATTTAATAGCCTTTATATTTTACTTTATAGGTACATTGAATTTCAATCCTGATGCAGCTGACTTCATTCCAGGAGAAAGACAAGCTTCTGATATAAATTGGGTAAATAAAGACAAAGTGGACTCTAATCAGAATAGAAGTGATTTACCATTTCCCAGTCAATCTTCTGACAGAAGTACAGATTATAAAAGCTCTTCCAAAAAGCAGCCTGGCTTTTGTAATCCAGAAAGTCAGTATGGGAATTGTCAAGACTTTCACCATTTTTTTGGTACCAGTAAAAGTTCGAAGAATCGCAACTTTCAAAGCCAGCGATGGCCCAGATCCAGAAATGATAGCACTTGTCCTAGAAATAAGGTGAGGCAGACTGCTACTGATGCTGCTGCAGGTCCAGGAAGTTCGGATAATTCAGTGGTACCTGGAAGAAGAGCAGCTGCTAGAGGATATAATGACTTTCTCTCCTCAGAGAGTGACAGAGAACTATCTAATGCAGACAGCAGAGGAGCAAAGCCAAAGAAGACACACCTGATGCATGCATCTGGAAGAGGATTCAAGGAGAAGGGAAAGCAATTACATGAGCGGGAAAAGAGGGTGAACTCTAAACAGAAAGTTGAGCTGCTGGAAAATGTACCTTCTGTGGATTTGACTCAGTCTGACTCCTCAGAATCGTCTTTTGGAAAAGCCTTCTGCGAGGCGCTTATTGGTAGCGGGGATGAGCAGAAAAGCTACAACTATGTTAACAAGAGGTATCCTCGAAAACCTGTGTGGAATAAGCCACCAGTAGAAAAAGACTATCAGAAAAGACATGATTCTCACCGCAGTAAAAATACAAAAGTAGGTAAGAAGTCTTCTCTTCCATATCCTTCGAAAGATAAAAATGAGAGGAAAAAAGAACTCTCTGTTCACAAAAGTGATGAACCCTCAACCAGTGAAATCAGGCCTCAGTTGTCTGACTCTGTCAGGTGTAACGGAAGAAAATTCCTGCTAAAGGAGGATCAGTCACCTGCCCTTCATTTCAGCTGGACCCAGTACTGGAAAAAGCAGAGCGATGTACCAAAAAACAAAGAAACTCATACAGGTAAGTCTCCTAGGCTCTGTCTTGAACTCTGATGTTAAAGGTAGGATCTTGAGTAATTTAAGCTGCTTGCACATCTGACTAAGTGAAAGTGCTTATTTCACAGTAGATCGGTGTTGGTTTCAGGGGATAGAATTCAATGTGAATGTGTGCTTTGAATGGGAAGGTGTTCTTCAAGGCCCTTAAAGAAGGGTTCCTATTCTCTTTTTTATAAAAGAGTTGATTGGGGCAGGGGAAAGGGTATGACTTTGTGGTTATCATTATCACTATTAAACTGCAGATGATGGTCTGGTTGGGCACCGTGTTAAATCATGCACCTTTGTTGTGCTGGAGGAGGGTGAAATTAAAACATTATGAAGAGTGAGACTTGAAAGGGACAGTCCTAAAATTTGAAAAAATTATTTGCAAATTTTTTATATAAAAGTAGAAGAAAATGCCAGAGAGAGAGGTGCTATGTTCTGTTCATAACTGAATGTTTTGCAATCTCTTTGCAGCAGTACTTGCAATTAGAAATCCAGAAAGCCTCTGGATGCTATTTTTGGAAGTTCAGAATAGAAATATGCGTCATTGATAGTGAAAAGCAGCCCCCCAAGTCTTTGCAGAGTTAATTTATTGCCAAATCATATCATTAGAGCCTTAGAACAGAAAATGGAAACCGGCTGAATGTCTTTAGTGTCACAGCACTGAGTACTTTCTCCAGAATATTTTTTAGCCCAAGTAAGCTGTTTTTATCATTTTAAATGGAACAGCGTAAGTATGTCTCATATTTGGTAGTCTCATGTCATCCATAGTGCCTAGGAGAAGAAATCGTATTTTCTTTCAGAGGCAATAATTGAAAGAGATATTTTTCTGTTCCTTTGTCCTTTTCCTGTTGGACAATCAGAAAATTGTTTAGCTTACTTTACCTAAAGTATCTCAGCTTGTTCCTGCTGCCCTAGAATGGCAGACCCAAGTAAACTAATCTGTGTTATTTTAAATGTGGTAATGAATCTTTCGAAGATTTGCTTCTAAACATCTTTCAGGGCTGAAGAAGTAAGAATGAGAAAGGATAAATTAGTTCCACCTGGATTATGGAAACCAGCCCCCTCTTAAAACAGCTGCTTTAACAGTGAAATTGCTGGGAAACAATAGCCAAGCATGTGGCCTCTGGAGCCAGGTGGAAGAGTCCTTAGAAAAGAGTCTGAACTAGAATCTTTCAGGAGCAGACTAATATCTTGGTTACAGCCATGCTGGAAAAAAACAACTCTGATATTAGTTCAAATTAAATTCCAGAATTTTATTTATGCATAAAACATCCAATAGCTGAAAAATAATATTAAACAATATGTATTATTTGCAGGCTCCCTGATTGAACAGCTGACCACAGAGAAGTATGAGTGTATGGTATGTTGTGAGGTAGTGCGAATCGTGGCACCAGTGTGGAGTTGCCAGAACTGTTACCACGTATTCCACCTGAACTGCATCAAGAAGTGGGCAAGATCACCAGCTTCACAGGCTGAAGGTTGGTATGCACGTGTTCTTGGTCACACGTGCACCCTCTTGCACTCTCTTACATGATTTTTCACACGTTTCTAACTTTGGAAAGCTAATTCTAGATATTGCTTGATTATGGTAACCAGCAAGCTGTGAATAAAGCAACTCTTGAAGGAAGAAGAGTTTAAGGGAATTCTTGACACAGCATATAAACCTTTCTCCTTTTACATGCTTGTATACATATAATGCTTCTAATACTTGCAAGTATTCTGGCTAAACCAATTTCCAGGTTTGAATACGTAAATAGAAGATAATTCAGTAGAATCCGTGCATCAAGATGCAGAGGCTTTGTGGCTGCGCACACCGAGAATTGTCTCCTCTCCCATTTGATTAATTGGCCAAGCATGGATGGGAAAATCAACACACCAGCTTTTGGTTGTCTGCTTTTGTACAATCACTTTGTGGTTCTGTCCAGAGATAAGGTACTCCTGAAATCTATCACTAATGCTACAGAGTGAAATGAGGTCCAAGAAGGCAAAAAGCTTCTATGTTACCATTAGTTTAGATTCTTTTTACTATACCCCATTTTGAAACAGTACATCACAGCATTCTGCCCTGAGAATATTTTGGTGTAAAATAAGGCTCCATTGTAGCCTCTGTGTGCTTTACTCTGTTGTGTGATGTAGATATGGTCTGAAGATACTGATATGTATTTTCACTACCCTGTTACTTGAGCCTCTACTGTTCTTCTGTGGTGTTTTTTTTTGTTTGTTTGTTTTTTTTTTTGTATCTGGACAGATACCTGTAAGCTACTTTGATAAGGCCTCAAAACATCAAAAGTAGGAATGTTTGAGAGAAGCCCTTAGGAAGGAATTGGTGAAGTGCAGTCTTTGATTTTGCAAGATGCCCAGGTTGTGTGAATTTCATAATATACCTGGACCTTTGAAGAGGCCTGGTAGTCATGTTCCATAATGACAGTAGAAATGAAGTTACAAACTTGAGCAGATCTTTGATGCGAAACTCAAAAATACCAGTATGTTTAAGAAGAGAACAGAATATGGTTATATGAGATCCTAGGCCCAACTAAGAGCGTCTGCTCAGTACTTTTATTTCCTAGCTGTTTTTCTGGTGCTTTCTTTGCTGCTTATTTAGCTCTCTGAACCATCTTATATCATGATCAGCTCCCTGAGCCATCCTCAGTGGTTGATCAGAAGAGCATCTGCTTGTCCAAGGGAGGTTCTGCTCATTAGATTGTTGAATCTTGACAGCTTTTCAAACGACCATACCTTCTGGTTGTTTGCTTTTCTCAAAAGAACTTGTGGAGCAGATTTGTTTCTGGATCCTGGGTGTGGAAAAAAAAAAAAAAAAGAATGGTGGCTTTAGTAGATTTGAATCCATAACTCCAGTAAGGACGCTGGTGTATTATTTCTTGACCTATGAGGCACACCTTGATTAAGACTTCTATTTCAGAGTGTATTTGTATTTTCATGGTAGGCTGTTTCCAGTGTAGGCTCTACTTTCTAGACTTTGTGTAACATGAATGTGATCACTAGAATTCCAGCAGTAATTATTGTCAGCCGGAAGAGAAATAGGACACTGTAATCCACCCAGTCCATAATTGGGCTAATAAATGGTGTTTTTCTGAAAGAGGATGACTTTTAAATCTGCTCAGTTCTGCAAATGTATAATGAATTCTAGGAAATCTCACCTAAGCTCCACACCCAGCCTTTATAGTTGCTACATTTAACTTCCATCCTATTGAGCATCTTTCATTGACAGAATTAGTTTGTGTTCATTCTCTTAGGTTTTCAAAATGATTTATTATTTCATTGAGAATATTATGGTAGCTTGTATTTCTGTGATGCCCAACAGGAATTATAAGTACAAAGTATGTGTATGTTATTTCTAGGAATATGTTCCTTTTAGAGCCTGATGAATTGTAGGCTGTCTGAAAAAAGTGCTTCTGAAATCCTCTTGAATGAAGCCACACAGCATCACTGTACAGTTATCTTTCTGACTTTGCTCCATCTTCCAGATGAATAATAATGGATAGTTCTGCTCCAGTGTTCATATTTCCACAATAGAGGCCTGTGCTGCCCTCTGACATAAAGAATGCATGTTCAATCTGTAAGATGTCCTAATGCCCTAGGAGGGCCTTTGCTAGGCATCTCTTTGTAATCATGTAGGAAGACTTTTTTTTTCCTTCATGAGAAAGAAGATATTTTTCACCTTAAAAAGCATTTTTTCCTAACGTTTTATATTACTTTGGATATTACTGTTGGAGGAATGGGACCTTTAGATGTGGCTCAGTCAAAGTTAATCTGACTCCAATTCCTGTACTGAACTTGATGTTTTCCTTGTTCCCTTTATCATTCCAAAGGGAAAGATTAGTAAGTGTCTTACCCACTTCTTCCCCCATCCCTCTTAAAACATAGTGCCTCATTGGTGTTTGACTTATGCCTTTGCGATGTTGATGGAACAAGTACTTAAAAATACAAACTCTCTTGTCTCGAGGGGCTTAAACTGGGATGAAAGCTGAGCAGTTGCTTATTTGCTTTACCTTGTTTTTTTGTTTTTGGTTTTTTTTTTTTTGAGTTTAGTTGAACAAGCAGAAGGTTTTTACCTTCAGGAACTTTCATACCTTTAAACAGCTTTTCTTGGTGTCAAGGAATTTAGAGTTCACATATGGATGATTATGTCTAAACTAAGTCCTCTTCCGTGATTGCTTTATGGAATATAATCCCTCATCTAGATTGATTTATGATCCCTTTACCATATGCAAATGTGTGTATTTCGGAAATGTGAAATCATTTCTGATTGCACATTCCCATATATTGATGTCATCTTCCCATCATATACCGCTGCAGTGATTTTTGTTTCATCTATTTATAGGTGGAGTTTTTTTATTTTTAGATAACTGATTTTAAATAAACTATAAACCCAGCCTCAAACTTTGATCTCCCTGTGCACTATTCTGTGAGCTTAACACAGAACTGGCAAGACAAGGAACTGCTCTAATAGCAAGGAGCAGGATTAAAGATAGTCAACATTGTGGGCAGGTGGAAGATGTTTACAAATGTACACCTCAGCCAAGCTGCCGATGAGCCTACACATTCTTGAAATACACAAGCAAGAAAATTACTATCTTATTAAAAACCAATAGTGTTATTGTCCATAAATATGTGTAGTCAGCTTTTAAGTAAGTTTAAATATATATATATATATATCTCAATAATCTGGACATGAAGCAATACTAAATTAGTCTTTTACAGATCTTCTGCATTTCAACTTGCATTGTGAGAGGATGACAAAAAAATACAGGTGATGCTTAAGACTGGAAGATCTTTCTCACCAATTTCCCATGTTTTATTACTTCCCCCTCCCTGTATTTTTTAGCTATGAAGACTATCTATATTCTGTAATACAGAATGCTGTCCTATAACGATGTGTATAAGCCTTGTTTTTCTATGGGGTGCATAAAACTTCTGAAATGTGTCCTTACCTTTATGTGAAAGTGACATGATCGTAGCATTCATTCTGTGGTCCCAAATTATTGGCTCCTTTAATTACTTTAAGTATTTTTTATCTTTATTTTTAATCTGTCTTCAGATGGTAATAGTGGTTGGAGATGTCCAGCTTGTCAGAATGCTTCTACACAAGTTCCTACAACTTATACTTGTTTCTGTGGTGAGTTTCTTGCTATTTTTTTGTTTTGTTTTGCAAATAGGAACTATATTATCCTGTTGTTGTTGTTTGCCTTTTGTTGAGTTATTCTTTTCTGCATCTGTAAAATGTGTTCTTAGTTAAAACTTCACTTACATTAAGGGTTGTTGCACAGTCATTCCCATTTTTGTTGCTTAAAACATCAAGAAGCAAAGTCATAATTTGTGAATGGTTGCACAGCATTAAATAAAAAAATGCTAGAATTTGGCTACTAGCCTAAAAACTTCTCTTTTGAAGAAAGATTGAAATAATCTATATCTGTTTTGTCTTCTGTTGCGGCAAGGTATGCTTAAAATAATTTACAATTTGAACATACAACTGATATTATTATAAGAAAAAAGTGAATATATATATATAATAGAATATATAAGCTTTTTGATTGATCTAGCATTTTTATCATTTATATTGATCAGGGAGAGATATGAGTTAAATAGTAAGGAGTGTTAAACCTACTCGGAGTTTTATGTGAAGGTAGGCCTAATAAAAGAAACAAATTAGTTTGCCATTCACTCTACCATTCACTAAGCCATATTTATGTCAAAAAGTGGAGGAAATGAATAATGCTACTTAAATGTGAAAATATGTGAGTAAATTACAGTTAATGTTGGACTTGACTTTAGAAATTTCTTTTGATTTTGCTGAGGTGGCACTTTAAGTCTGTCTATCACAGGAAAATTCACCCTGCGCCCTACAAAATACAATGTTCTGGAAATGAGCTAGGAACTGGGAATCGGTGAGCTTCCCCTAAAGAAAGTAGGTTATGCTGTACTGGGTATCTCGGTACTTGCATCTAAAGTTCTCTTTATCTAAATAGTGGAATGAGTCAATGAAGAACAATGCAATGCAGGTAGGACATTCAGAGTTTATCTGTGACAGTATCAGGAGTTGTGTGAAATTGTATGAGTATATGGATAACAAATCAGATTGAATTAATATTTTTATTCCAAAACAAAAATATACTTTTTGCTAAGCAGTAGGAAGGAAGTTCTGCCTAGACTTAAAGCCTGTTGAACAGTTTGGGGAGACCTATGGTAGGAACCACAGTCAATCCACAAAGTAGAGCACTATGATGGAACAGGAATCTTCTGTAGATAATTTTCCATGAGATGTAGTGTGTTCGACATTAGCAGTCATTAATGCAAAGCTGTCTTGTATTTGTTGCCATACACTAAGTATCTGTTGAATGTGGTCAGATGTTGCTTTTTTCATCTTTGTGTGGGGAAATTTTCTGACTTTTTTCCTGATTCTCCTAACTTTCCAGACTTTCCTGGGCATATACTAGTAGTATAACTGAAGTTCAGGTGAATAATTGCTATCTGTGGTGTTTTTTCAACTTTTTCTGACTTAAAACTTATGAAACAACTAAGGAGGTCTAAAAGTTAACATGGTGCAAGTATATCATTACATATACATTGTCTTGCTGTTCTTAAATTTGGAACTCAAATTTGTGGAATTGGACCAATTGCTTCATTGTTTATTTTATTCCCCTCTTAGAGAGCAGATTAGGTTTGTTTGTGTAATAAAACATGACCCTGGGAATCACCTCCTGCACAACGTGCTGTGAGATTTGTTAAAATATGTGAAATTATTTAAAATATGGCTTCAGTGTTCTTCTGAAATACTCCATCATATGTTATATATGAGGCTAAGTTATTGAAATTATGACTTCTTGTTCATGATTTCCTGCTACAGTCATCAAAATGTCAAAAATTGATATTTCAGTCTGTACAGAGTGTTTCTTCTAAAAGGTTTTTTTTGTTTTGTTCGTTCGTTTATTTTTTATAGTTTACACATTGAAACTTGGGGATATTTCCTTTTTTCTGTGTTGAAGCAGAAAAAGCTTACTGAATATGAAGCCTGCCAAACTAAAATTTTCATTCTCTTATTTTTTAATGGATGAATTTAATGTCAAATACTGGGTACTGAAATGCCTGCTAAGAGCATAAAGGAAAGAATCATTTGAAAAATTTATATTCCAATTCTAATATGCAGGGCTAATGCAATATACTTCTAAAGATGTGAAGTGACAAGTATATGTCATCAATGAAAGATGAAAAAATCACAAGCATTTCATCTATTTTTATTTGTGTTTTTGGTTGGTTGTTTGCTTCTTTTCTAAGCATACTAGTAAGTATTGAAAATATGACTTTTTTGTGTGGTGTGATGTACTTCTAAAATTCAGCGCCATACTGAAGTCAATAAATATGTTTTTGCCTCTACCATGTTTTAGGTAAGGTAAACAATCCTGAATGGAATAGAAATGAAATTCCACATAGCTGTGGAGAACTCTGTGGGAAGAGGAGACAGTGTTTAGACTGTCCACATCTTTGTAACATGTAAGTAAACATGTATCATGTAAATGCCTTGAAATGATCCTTTGGAGAACTATATTTGAATGTCCTTTGACTATAGGATGTACATATATCTGGTTTATAGTTAATTCAACTGAAGCCTGAATGAAAGAAATCATAGAATCACAGAATGCTTGGGGTTGTAAGGGACCTCTAGAGGTCACCTAGTCCAACCCCCCTGCACACGCAGGGTCATCCAGAGCACATGGACAGGACTGCGTCCAAGCGGGTTTGGAAGATCTCCAGAGAAGGAGACTCCACAACCTCTCTGGGCAGCCTGTTCCAGTGCTCTGTCACCCTCACTGTCAAGAAATTTTTCCTTGAGTTCCTGTGGAACTTTTGGTGTTTCAGTTTGTGGCCGTTACCTCTAGTTCTGTTGGTGGCCACCAGTGAAGAGAGGCCAGCACCATCCTCCTCACTGCCTCCCTTGAGGTACTTATAGGCACTGATTAGATCCCCTCTCAGCCTTCTCTTCTCCAGGCTGAACAGGCCCAGCTCCCTCAGCCTCTCCTCACAGGGCGGATTTTCCAGGCCCCTGATCATCCTTGCAGATGCAGTCTTGCTGTTTGTGAGTGTAACATAAGCTTTTACCAGAGCGTAGACAGGAGGTCAGCTAAAATAGTTTCCATCATATCGTAAGAAATGAATCAACTGCCTAACTTGGTTTCAAGAACTTCTGTTGAAGTGGTGCAGAGAAGTCATCGAAATGCATGCTTAGTGCTCCGACAGATGTTTTTTCAGTTTCTTTTCAGGTAACAGCATATGGATGTCTTAAATTAGGAGCAGTGGTACTGGAATAGACCAGAACGTTTATTTAGTCTCATCCTTTGCTGCTTTTTTCCTTCTCATTGTCAAAGTTTGGCTTTTCAGTCTTTTGTTTGGTCATAAAATTATTTTTGCATTCTGTATTTCCTTTATCTGTATTTTTCTTAATGTAAACAATATTGTGTTAGTCTCCTTTCTGTAGTGTAGTTCTTGTGCTTTTTTCTTCTTGTCCTTGTATTATACATGTTCAGGTTTAAAACCATTACACGTGTTAGCACCTGTCCAGGTATGGGAAGCATTTCATTGTGCCGTTGACAACGTCAATTAGGTGCTTATGTAGGTGTGGCACTACCCAGCCTGTGCTGGTGAAAGTGAGGGAGGTTAATTTACACTCTCCTAGTAATAGATCTTAACCTAATATTCACTCAGCTTTATTGAGATGTGTTAGAGGCCATTTACTACTGGGGAGAGTCCAGCACAGGGCTATAAGGATGATCAGGGGCCTGGAGCATCTGCCCTATGAGGAAAGGCTGAGAGAGCTGGGCCTCTTCAGCCTGAGGAAGAGAAGACTGAGAGGGGATCTGATCAGTAGTACCTGATCAGATCTAGTATCTGATCAATAATCAGATAAATGCCTTAAGGGAGGGAGTAAGGAGGATGGAGCAGGCCTCTTTTCAGTGGTGGCCACCAATAGGACTAGAGGAAATGGCCACAAACTGAAACACCAAGAGTTCTACAAGAACTTAGGGAACTTTCTTGACCCTGAGGGTGACAGAGCACTGGAACAGGCTGCCCAGAGAGGTTGTGGAGTCTCCTTCTCTGGAGATCTTCCAAACCCGCTTGGACGCAGTCCTGTGCCACGTGCTCTAGGTGACCTTGCGTGTGCAGGGGGGTTGGACTAGATGATCTCTAGAGGTCCCTTCCAACCTTAAGGATTCTGTGATCCTGTGATTTATGTAAGCAGCTCTGTTGGCAGAGCTGAGGAAGAGACAAGTAGCTGTTTGAGAGCAGTCTGCTTGCTCTCTCAGCGAGCAAATGCTCAAGTTCTTACCAGCATGAGCTATGGTATGCATAACTCCTTGCCAAGCAAGTTTTCTTCAAGTTTTCAGTTTAAATACATTTAAATTGATGTCATTCTGTCACTTAAACTGATGTCACTTGTTTTATCCTTCACAAAAAAAAAAAAAAGCATTTAATGCCCTGGTCTTTTTACTGCTTGTCTTCTCTTTCCTGTTTTCTCCATCCTTCATCCTGCTGTGCTGTCCCTTTCCTCTGGTCTGCTCTAGTGCTCACTTCAGGAGGCCAGGAGTCAGGAGAAACTTTTAAAACGTTTTTAAAACATTTTGGCTTGGCAGTGGCTCAACTTTACTGCTGGCACTAGCAAAAGCTGGATGGTAGGATAGGCCTTATGATCAAAAGGGAGAACTGGTGGAGGAGGAATGCAGCAGAAGCCTGGTGACAAACTGCTAACATGGCTTGGTTGTCAGCTGTGTCCCTAGCAAATGCAGCGCTTTGTGGAGTGGCTGGACTTAGGGTATTGGGTGGTAACTACTTGTAATCGACTAGTTTGTATTTCTAAGGGGTTTTGGTGAGGTGTTTTTTTGACAAGGGCATCTGGGCTGGTCAGTCCTACTAAATAGTTCCAGTTTGTTCCAAGTGAGAGTTCCTGATTTGCAGGGGGAGGGAACTGGGACCTGGCTAGGGAAGAGTGCAGACAAGTTGGTAGAACATAATATGACAAACCTAGGCCTATCAGTCCCTAACAGAGATCTTACTAAAAGATGCAGAGAGGGACTGTCTAAGATTTCTGCAAGCAGAAGGTTGTAGCCGATATTCGAGTAGAGGGCTGGTATTGGTAACACTCACAGGATGCTGCAATTGTTGGAGAGGAGGAGCAGCTGAAGTAGCCCCGATGCTATTTTCATGGTAGGCAGCCAAGGAGCCCCTTCTGAGGGAGATTATTATCCAGAGCTCGAAGGCACTGCATCTCATATCACTGAATTAAAAGGTATAACCACCAGATCAGAAGGAGAAACTTCATAGTGAAGTTTGGTGGTGGTGGTTTTTTTTTTTTTTTCTCCTCTCTCTCTCCAAACTATTAAAGCAGTGGGTGATTGTGGAAGGCAGAAAAGTTGCTAATGGTTTGGACAAGCCCTGTTGGTTTTGAGGGCAGTCAGTGACTAGCAGGCTTGAGTTAATGCATGCTAGCTGCTAAGATGCAAAATAGGAAATGCCTTAGTAACTGCTGCTGTTGATTTGACAGCGGAGGAGTACAAAGTTGTACTTACGTTTCATTGTCTTAGGAAACTTGAGAGACCGATGGAAGTGTCCTAATCTCCATTATTATCAAGTGTTAATATTTTAATATCCTTCAGGATTAAAGGTTGCTTGTGTAATGTTCTGATTTCTTTTTTCACTGTTGCATTAAAAATGTTTATACTTCTGGGTCTCTGTAGATTTTTTTTACCTGTGAGTGTTTGAAAGTTAGAGGAAAACACTGTGCAACTTTTTTCTTCTAAAATTATTTTTAGCCTCTGCCATCCAGGACCTTGCCCTTCATGCCCAGCCTTTGTGACAAAAACCTGTGAATGTGGACGAACGAGGTGAGAATTTTTCTATTTCAGAGTGTTAATGTTTGTTGACTAAATAAGTTTTTTATCCTTCACATTAGAGAACTTATTTTTACATTTTTTTTCTTGAAAAAGAGAGCAATATGGTTGCCTGCATTAAAATCAGATATGATGCATGGAGTTGAATTGTCCTGTTGTGGAAGACCCATATAAAGAAGTAGAAAAACATATTATCTATTTAAATGGGACATAATGCTGAATTATTCAATTCCAGGCGTAGTAATTTAATTTCAGAAATAACATATACAGTTGTGGGAAGCAGGTCTGTAGCATGCTCCAGTTGAAGATTTGTTTCTTTGTATGTTTGATACATACAGTATCATAGCCAGCAGGAAGACTGTCCTACCCCTGCTTTCTGTCACAATTTGTGGTGATTCTGAAGTGAGCAATAGTGGGCATAACCAACATAAACTGTGCAGTGGGTACAAGTTGGTGAAGTGGGGAGAGCGTGAATATTTCCTAGCGGCTCTTCTGTTAATAAGTAAATGTGCTGAGGACTTTAAGAGAACTAATAAATGGTGGTTTTTCTCCACAGTCACTCAGTTCGTTGTGGCCAGTCAACAGCAATTCGTTGTTCTAATGTTTGTGGAAATACTTTAAACTGTGGTAAGCACAGCTGTACTCAAGTGTGCCATGCAGGAAAATGTTCCCCTTGCCAACTAGTAGTACAGCAAGGTAAGAAATAGAATATTTTATGCACATCCACCTTCTACTAGCAAAAATGGAGGAAAAACAACAACAACAAAAAAACTTAATAAAACAATCTATTCCTAGAATCTTTAAATAACTTATGAAACATAGTTAAGCATTGCTATGTATTTATAAAGAATATAAATGGGGCCAGAACCATCCTGTCGAGATGCTCAGGGAGCAGGGTGACATGTGCTGTGGGGTGAGGCTGGTGGAGTTGGAGCGGATCCATCTGAGGAGAGATCCCCTCCCTCGGGAGGGACCCAACAGGAGCTGTTCAGTACTGGCAGGAGGCAGTCAAGGAGACAGGGCCAGGCTCTGTGTGGTGGGAGGATGAGTCAACGAAATCACAGGTTCCACCTGGCTCCAAGGAAAAACTTTGTCCCCCATGAGGCCAGTCACGCAGTAAACCAGGTTGCCCAGGGAAGTGGGGCAGCCTCCATCTCTGGGTGTTTTCAAGCTGCACAAAGGCCTAAGTCATGTGGCCTGGCCTCAGAGCTGGCCCTGTTTTGAGCAAGGGCTTGGGCTACATGAGCTTCTGAGGTCCTTTCCATCCTGTGATCCTACTTAATCTTTCAAATTGTATTGAAGACTTAATCAGTAGAAAATTAGTATTCCTTTTGGTAGAAAAAGAATAGAAAATGCTGCATGAAAACACATCTCAACAAATGGCTTTTCATTTCTGTTTAAAGATATTTTAAGCTTGGTCTTGAATGGGAATGAAGATGTTTCAGAATATGAGCAAGTATACTATTACGTTTTTGTTGAATGGTTTATAAAGAAAACTGAAAATACATTTTCTTGCCTTTGAAGGTAATACTTAGCTTTGATTACATATGCTGCTTCAGCAAGTAAGCTTTCTTGTGGAGGTAGTAATTTCCCTTTTCTTATTTTTTTTTCTTCCTGTCAATACAACTAAAATAGAATTTTTAGTTTGTATAGAACTGAGATCTGTGTAGCTGAAATACATCTCCAGAAAAGCAGCTCATTATCCTTTTAAAAATGGATAACAATTTCTCATGTTCCAGCTTTATGTATTTACTGCTACAAATGTTTTTCAGTGTTTCTTTTTTGTTGTTGTTGTTTTTGAATATTTCTTTCAGTGTGTTACTGTGGGAGCAACTTTAAAGATGTATTATGTGGGACAAAGGAAGAATTCTCTGATGGATTTGGGAATTTCTCATGTCAGAAGATATGTGGCAAGTAAGGTCACTAGTTTAACCTTTCAAAGAGAAAAAGGTTATTTTATTCGTACTCGGTGATCACAAGGTTCAGAATTAATGCTTTTTTTCCTCCTCTTTTTCTCTTCCTTCCCCTATCCCCCAGGAAATTAAACTGTGGAAGACACAACTGCACACAAGTATGTCATCCTCAGCCCTGCCAGCTCTGTCCACGACTTCCCCAAGTAGTGTATCGCTGTCCCTGTGGCCAGACTCCTCTCAGCAAGTTATTGGAACTAGGCTGCGTTGAACGTAAATTATGCACAGATCCCATCCCATCGTGTGGAAAAACGTGCGGCAAACCTCTTTCTTGTGGGAGCTATGGTAATTAGACCTTTTTGCACTGAAATACTGGAAGTATCTCATTGCTATGAAGTTGGTCCTTGATTTCAAAAATAAATATTTTCTTGGTGATTTTGAGCATAATTGAGCTGAGTGAAAAAGTCACTGCAGGGCCTGCAACTTGACTGTGTTTTGTCACAGTAATACTAGGCAATGTATCTGTTTGGGGGAAAAAAAGATGCCATTAGCCTTTTAAATTTTGTTTACATGGATTTCTGTGTTGGGAGAGCTGTAGGAATTTCTAGAGAGTAGTATCTGCTGTGTTCTTTTAAAAGCTGAAAAAAGTCTTTGTGTCTTTTCTATTGGAGCACGTTCAGATGCCTTTAGTAAATAGTCATTTCCAGGGCCGTGAGGGAAAAGTTATGTTGGATGCTCAAAGGGAGGGGCTAATATGCCAAAATTAATTGACACCCAAATGAGTACATTAAGTGACTTAATGTACCTGTGGGATTGCCTGAAGCTCTAACTTTAGCAGCAGCATGTGAAACTGTAAAATCTCTCTTTTAGAGAGCATGAGTGCTGCTGGTACCTGAGAGGTGCTGAGGACCTCTTAGTAATGACCAGTCCACTCAGTCAGCCTTATTTAAAGGACTGCATATAGAAGGGGAATGAGTAATATAAGTTTTAGTTGGATTTGAGTTAACCAGAAAAATGAAATGTGAAAGTATGCATAGCAAGTCATTTGGGCTAAAAAGGAAATTTATATACTAGTAACATTTCAGAAACTTGCATGATGTTTTGTTGTACGAAATCAGATTTTTTCATGCCTGAATGTGAAAATGCATAGTTTCAGGTTTTTAAAATGCTAACAATAGACCTGAAACCCAGTGTAGTCTAGTCTATGTATATATTCAGGATATTAAACTGAAGAGTACTTGCAAAAGGTAGGTTTCTAATATTGTAATATTTTATGCATATTTAATGCAGAATATTATTCATTTGGAAACCCAGTTGTACATATGCATTTTATCTGCGGATAGTTGTGTTCCTAATAAATACCAAGTTGCAGGTCATTATTTTTTTAAATTAATTTGTATTAATGTTACCTTTCTATTTTTCTTTTGAAAGAGTTTATTCATACATGTGAAAGCCTGTGTCACGAAGGAGATTGTAGACCATGTTCTCGCACGTCAAATATTTATTGTAGATGTGGCTTCAAGAAAAAGGTGAGTGCATAAAACTGGACCATGGAAACAAGTTATCTTTCGTGGGTTTTTTTTCTTTTTTTTTTTTAAGCTGTGGGGAAAAGGGAGCTTATCTGTTTGAGGAAAAGAAAGGCACAAAGTACTAGAGCACCAAAAAGGTGCTGTGCTGCTCCTACTAGTTCTTGCATGAGAGTGATTCTTGCTACTAGAAAAGCTAATCAGTTTATACAGTGAAGTGCTAACAGAGGCCGCTTGCCCTAGAGACCATCCTTGAATTAATTTTGCAGCCTTTACAGCTCTGTTTATTTGAGCTGGTTTCAAAGTCCTGTGTTATCATGCTCTATTTGTATGGTACAAACCATGATGGTTTTCCAAGAGCTATGTAAACTAAGAGAAAGGTAGCCTGTATCAAGTGGGAGATGTAAAACTGAAATTCTTCATATTGAAGCTCTGAAGAGAAAGTATGATGTTAAAAGAATCAAGATTGAAATGATAAATTAAAATGTGTGAAATAATGCACAAATGAGAATTTTTTTCTGGCTTCTCTTCTTGTATGCAGAACAGTTATGAAAGTTAAAACAGAATTTTCCTTCTGTATCACAACTGACTTTCCAGATAAGTAAATTTTAATAGTTAAATTTGTTTTGATGTAATCTCTTCATCTTTGTTTCCTAGGAAGTCCCATGTACGCTCCTGAGAAATAAAGGTACGTTAGAATGTTACCTATGCATTGTGAAACCATTTTTAAAATAATAGAGTTCATACCAATTTTGATTGAAAAAGTTGGCAAATATAACCTGATCAATACTGCCACACTTACCCCTGGCACTTTCTGTGCCAAGTTGGTCACTTATGGTTTGAAATGAACTTTTTACCTCTGTTCATCTGTTTTATAAGAAAATAGTTCTTCAGCACTTAATTTTGAAGATTCCAGTCCAAGTTTCTATTTTTGAGCAGATCTTATGCCCCCTACCATATTCAACAAGTTGTCATCATCCCTCCTGCTCCCTCCTCTGTTTTGGCAACAGTGGTCTTGAGAGTACTTATGAACACCACTTGCTCAGTTGATTTCTAAAACCTAATTTTTATCCTATTAAATCTTTGAAACTATTTGATGAGTCTTGGTCTAGGGAAGTGTTTCCTTGACGGACCTCTGGCATACTAGGGTGCTCACTTACAAGATATGTCAGATAGCAGTGTGCAAGTGTCCTTTTTTGAGTTTTTGTCTATGAGGACTTTGCTTTGCAGAATCTTGTGTGGGTAGTGAGAAAGACTTTTTATTTGGGCCAATTATAAACACCAGCATATAAACAGTAGCCGGATTTCTTGCTGCAGTATTTATTAATTCGAGCAGTGTATAGTACTTCACTGTATCGGGAATGTTAGCCTTTAAAAGAAGTGGTTTTGTAAAAAATTGGATACAACAGTTTATGAACAAAATGAAATATAAATGAGCATTGTCCAGTCTCAAATACTTGTATTCTCTTTGGTATTCTTTTTATTTTATTGCACGAGACCAACTCTTGCAACAGACTTAGCATTGTGTTGTTCATGCAGCTTTTGTGCTTGCAATGAAGAGAATTTTTTGTTTTTAAAATTATCTTTTGTTTTCTTTTCTTTGATAATAGCTGCTATTACATTCATGTGTGACAAGCGATGCAACAAGAAAAGGTCATGTGGACGACACAAATGTAATGAAATTTGCTGTGTGGTAAGTTCACCTGGGTGGTTCTGTTGTTCATTGTGTAGCACGTTCACTTTTGGTTATAATTTTTAAGACTCCTTTGTTTCTCCATATTTGTGTTTTGGTGCATCTTCAATCTGTTTGCAGTATGGTTTTACTCAAATGTTTATGTACCTATACTAACTTTGCAGCATTCATTTTATGGATATCATAATATGCAAAACTGTTCCAACCTAGCTGTGGTTAAAGTCAAGTAAAGGGGGAAAGAGGAGAGAAAGGAAATAACTTCACTATGAAGTTATCAGTTTCTAGCTGTGTTTGCACTAGAGTTCTTAACAGAATCAACTTTAAAAATTCTGTATCCCTACAGTGGGTAAACATGGAAAGATCAGGCAAAAGCTGATGTATAGTGCCTAGGTATGCTTGGACAATTGCTGGACCTTGGAGAGGTCAGAGACATGAATGGATTTCATAACTCAGCTTTTCTGCCCTCCCCTAGGACACAGAACACAAATGTTCTTTGGTTTGTGGGCGCAAACTCAACTGTGGACTTCATAGATGTGAAGAACCCTGCCATCGAGGCAGCTGCCAAACGTGCTGGCAAACAAGTGAGTTCTGTAATTCTTCAAACTTAAAGGAATTTAGCCACTTGCTTGGTCAGAGCTGGAAGCAGAACCTGGTTAGAATTGGTCAGAATCTGAAAATAGGCAGGTGACTGTACTTGGGGTTTTTTTCATGGAAGAGAAAGTTATTTAATTTTAGATGAATTGTTAGATTTAATAGATTAGATGAATATTGTTGGCATTTGGGATCTCTATCTGATCATGCTATTGCTGTGTCTGTATTATTTGTGCCCGTTTCCCTGGAATATGTGTGATCAGTCTTGCTCTATGCTGGACTTGTATATTGGGACAGCAGCAGCCACATCCATCAGATGGAGACAGGAGAAACCTCCTGGGTTTTAGAGTATTCCAGATTTGGCATTGGGGGACTGGGAAGGTCCCTAAGAAACTAAAGCTCCTTCTTTTGTCAACCATAACCATATTAGAGTGATACAACGAATTCGTTAAATAAAAGTTTATATATCTTGATTTACATCTTATATTTTCACTTCTTTTTGTCTAATGGCTTTATAACTCCTTTCATCTGCTTTTTTATTCTTTGCGCTCTTTTTCCTGAGATGGGAAATCTGGCGTTTCATGTGCTTTATGCTTACAGTGACCAGTACCGATTTGTGACTATTTTTTGAGCAGGTGGTAAGTTTAACTACGTGTGAGCTGTGGCCACTGAGATGTATGCGTTCTGTGGTTTTGCCTTTTCAGGTTTTGATGAGTTAACTTGTTACTGTGGTGAATCAGTGATTTACCCACCAGTCCCCTGTGGCACTCAGCCACCAGAATGTAAAAGAACGTGCACCAGGCCTCATGAGTGTGATCATCCAGGTAGGTCAGGCTCAATGGCTGCTTAGCTTCAAACAAACAACCCCTGACAACTGTCAAAATGTAGTAAACAGTTCAGGGGTCTATTTGAAAATACTTACTATATATTATCACCTTTCACAGTAGCTGCGAGTATTTTTGATAATCTGTATTTGTGGCACATTTTTAGTTGATTGCTTTGAATAAGTAATGGTACTTCTGACTGCTAAAGTGCTGTTTTTTGCTTTATGATTCAGACTGCAAGTTTTAGACACTGTTAATAATCATAACAGATTACTGTATTGTAAAGATTGAGCACTGTTAAAACAGTAGGGTAATCTAATCATCATTTTGTTTCTAATTTCCCTGAAAATACAGTATCTGATTGCAAAATAAAGAGCAGAGATTTGCTTTAGAGCAAAAGATCTATTTTCTGAAAAACAATCCAATAGCATAATCCTGCTCAGAAGATACAAATGTTTGCTATTTTCTGCCACTTACTTCAGAATTAGGGCAAGATATTCACCTAAAAGTCTGCCATCTTAATTTTCAAAAGTATTTTAAAGAGCAGATTACACTTGCATGAAGCATCATACTTACTCTTAAGTTGTCTAGTTTTATAGTACTAACTCATATTTACCAGTCCTTACCATCATCTTTAAAGCCTTTAACTGGAGTATAGTGTTAAAGCTGTTTGCTTTTTGTGTTTCTATGACTGCAGTGTACCATACATGTCATAGTGAGGAGAAATGTCCACCATGTACCTATCTCACTCAGAAATGGTGTATGGGCAAGCATGAAGTAAGTCCAACCATGTAGTGATTTTTTTTTTTTAATGCCAAATAATGTACAGCTTAAAAGTGTGTGTTCATATTTAAGATACACTTTTCACATAACTTTAAAAATAAGCGTGTGTTACTTGACTTCCTAAGACTGAAGGTTTTGCGTTTTATTGTTTCTTTGGAATGTAATACGTTACAGGTGCTTGTGTTTAATGTGATTAAATTGACCTAGGCCTTTACTGTCATATCATTCGGACCAACTGCCATATTGGTCTGTGATATTAAGAAAAACTCTGGCATTATCTTAAAACATTCTAGTATTAAGGTTCTTGTGGAGACAATGCTGAAATGAGGTGTGAACAGTAAAAGTACTTTGAGATTTGCTTTCATAGTTGCTTATATTCAGTCTTAAGGTGATACCTTCCTCCTCCTATCTTCCAGCTGCGGAGTAATATTCCCTGTCATCTCACTGATATTTCCTGTGGACTTCGCTGCAATCAAATGTTAAAATGTGGAATGCACAAATGTAAAAGAATCTGTCATAAAGGAGAATGTCTTATAGATGAAGAATGTAAACAGCCATGTACTATTCCAAGGCTGTATTGCAATCATCCCTGTATGGCTCCATGTCATCCTTCTTCACCCTGCCCAACAACTTCCTGTTCTGCTAAGGTTAGATTCTCAAAGAAGATTCATTTTAACTTGTAGGCGAATTGCATAGTTTAATCATTGGCAACTTAAGAGTAGCGACAAAAAGGATCACATTTATATACTGCTATCATGGTATTTTTTGCTGTAAACTTACAATATTGAAAAATAAAAAAGTATTTTTTAATTACCCATAGTTTTAAAGTACTATTAGTTTACTAAAACTGGAAATTTTGAAAGAATGTATTTGCTTCCTTCCTTCCCACAAAAAACACAGTAGTTTCAAAGAGCTGCTTTCTCTTGTTGATGTAACAGGTCGATCTCCATTGTGAATGTGGAAGAAGAAAAGAGAGTATGATTTGCTCAGAAGCATCTAACACATATCAAAGGTTTGTACTGCAATGATTCTTTTTGTTCTTGTATTGAACGTTTTTTGCAGCTTGTCTGAATGCAGAGTATGAATTACCATATTTAATTCACCACCGTTTTCACATGTTTTTTTGTACTTTAGCTTATAGTGTCTTTCATACTCTTCCTCCAGACTTTCATATCAGATTGTGTTGCAATACAACACACTCGTCTTCTCGCTACTGTTAGTCTGCTAGTGATGACATGTCAGAGCTCAGATCTCCCATCTGTGAACTTGTTTTATCTAACCAGAGTCCAATTAAAGAAGAAAGGAGGGAAAACGATCACTGGTTTACTACAAACTTAGGTTAGGTATCAAAACCTTCAAATGTCTTCATATATATATATTTAATTCCTGGTTCTTACAATAACTGATACTACCCATGAATTCCTTCTTGTCTGGTTGATATTAACAAAAGTGCTATTTAGTGTCAGGTAAATTTGAATAATCCAGCTGTTCAGATTGCTGTGTCTGTGAAGATGGTGTAGGTGCACATATCGCTTTCATCCAATGGCCCATTAGCTTGACTTTGGCATTTCTTGATGAATTTGGGACTGATGGTGGCTCTCATTGACATTTGTCACAACTGACAAATATGTTATGTGATTAGCTTCCTGGTGAATGGTTAGTTGTTCTCTGAATTTGCTGTCAAAGGTTTGGAGAAAAGAGTGTCCTTTTGCATGAAAATTAACAGGAAAGAAAGTTCAGAGGATAATAGGATTTTTCATCTTAAGAATTTTGTTTGAGAAGGGTGTGGGATATTTCACTGAAAAATCTTTTCACATAAAGTTGTAACAGTTTTAGCAGGTGTTTCTGCTCTTTCAGGGAACTCAATTTACAGGTTTTATTTACACAGTTGAAGAACCACAAGAAAGTTGAAGTGTGTTTCCAAACTATTTGAAAAGTTAAACCTATATGGTCAACTATAGGTTGAATATTAAGCAGGAGGGAGGAAAGAGTATTCACTTTGCCTTATTTACACTTGCATGGAATGGATGCTTTGAATAATCTGGAGATGCAAGCTTCTTCCTTCTTAATTTACCTTTTAATTTATGTAGCTGGACTAAACTCCTAAATCTAGGTGATATGGAACTAGATTCCTGCCAGAAAACAACTGGTCCTTCTTCTCTCTCTCCAAATGGAGATTTAAATGTTCAGCTTCATACACCTTTTCCAAGTTTATTTCTTGCATCAAATGAAGTTTCCATGCTCTTTTTTCAGAATAGCTGCTATATCTATTGCCACTAAGTTAACAGATCTGCAACTTGGAGATTCTGTGGAAATCAGTAGGCTTATTACAAAAAAAGAAATGAAGCAGGCCAGGTAAGGATGTTTATTTGTAACACATGTTTGTAATAACATAATATTGTGAGCAGATTCACAGCTAAAGTGGGAAGCCATTAAATAATGACTGTACTGTAACAATACTCTTAATAGAGAATTTGGCGATTTAGTCATTCATTTTGTTTTCACATAGAATAATTTCCCTCCCATTGACTGTTTTGTTGTGATACTTTTATATGGATCAATACTGTTGTGATTTCAGAGTTTGTACCTGCTCCAGGAAATGTTTTGGAGTTTGTCTGGATTTGTATAGATTGCCAAGCATATATATTTATATATATAAACATTTTTATATATATAATATTTACATATATATATTTCTTTTTTCCTGTTGTCCTTTTTAGATTCCTTTTTTAGCTTACATTTATTTGTCAATTTATTCTTGAATTTTTCTGCGTTCCCATGCCTGATAATGCCCACCTGCTTCAGGTCACTAAAAATACTTGTGGCTTAATTTTTTGGTACTTTTTGATGTTCCTCTTCATGAGAGAGCTGTAGTTTTGCTTTATGTAACCGATTATTTAAGGAATTATAAAGATTGCCAGAGCCAGTTCAGAAGCTGTTGTTCTCAGCTTTGATAAAGCTGCTTCTATTCCAGGCCTGAAGGAGGACCTGAGTACTCGAAAGTCTGCATGATTTTTTGTTTGTTTTTTTAATTGTTACCTGTTCTCATGCAATAAGGTATTCTCTCACACTGTTTATTTCATCAAGCTATGGTAATGATACATTTAAGGTACAATTTTGTTGCTGTTGTGTGAGGGTAAGTGTTGATGCTCATGTTTTTCTCTAATAATTCAGGCTGCAATGTGATGAAGAGTGCTTAGCTCTTCAGAGGAACAGGTAGGCAATGAACTTCTATTTAATGGTAAATCAAATGCATTTAAATATTGATTGCATATTAAAATATGCATATGTTTAATAATTATTAAACTTATTAATAATTTAATTACAATATTTTTATTAAGAAATTGATTCAGAAGGCTCGTGCTGTGTGGAAAATCTTTCCTTTCATACCTAGAAAACTGGATCCCTATGCTTAAGGAACTATATTGTTTGATCAGCTCTTAGTAGAATTCTTACTAGAATATTTGAGTGAAAAGCTGGAGTAGGTTCAAATATACAGAATAGATTTTTTTTTTTTTTTGGAGCTCTTTGTCTATGTTGGTGGCCTGTCTCTTCAACCTTTAATCACAAAAGGTTTTGTTTTGCGTTCCCCTGATCCCTGCATTTAGGCGTCTTGCCGAGGCTCTTCAGATAGATGATAATTCTGATCCTTTCAACGTCAGCTCTTCCGGACCAAAGTACAGCGACCTTTTAAAAGAGGATGCGAGGTATGTGTTTCCATGTGCTTGAGATTCACCTATGCATTTTTCTAACTACTGTGTTTTAAGATTCTTTTAATATCAGGTGTAACAAAGTGCATACATAGGTGTCATAAGTAAAATGGAGAGAGCAAGGGATAGAGTTGAGAGTAGGGAACAATGTTTCTGTTTACTCTTGTGAAATTGCCTGTGTTTACTTTCTAGTTTCGGCACTAGGTGATTGTTGAGGCAAAGGAGATAAGGGGCACTTCTCAAGACCAATTAATTGAGAACCTGAAAAATAAAAAGCACTTGTATGGACAGTTCATACTGTAGCAAGACCAATTTAGACCAGGATCAGCAGTTCTCCACTGTTCTTCTCACTTCAAATCAGTACATGTGCTTCCCATATCTCAACTGCTTTTGACCCTTTCTGCCCCTCACCATTTGTAAGCTTATCAGGACAAAGATTAAAGTAATAGCCTAGTTATGTCATGCTCTGCAGGCATGTCTCATAACTTCCCTCCACTAGTCCTATTGACATGTTTCCCCTACTGTTTTTATTTTCAAAACAAAGAAGCAGGTTATCTTGTGACATATGTACATTTCCTTCACATATGCTCTCTCTTTCTGGAGTATAATCATATGACATCTAGCCTTCAATTTACTGTGTTAAACAAGCTAGGCTCTTGACCGTCTTCCACTTTCCAGTTTGCTCTTTTCTACCTGTAGGGCAGGTTTTGGGGGGTTGGTTTTGTCAACAGAATTAACCAGAATCATGCACCGTATTCCAGATGGTCTAATAAATACCTTGAAAAGTGGACTTAATACTTCCACTTTTCTTCATGAAAATCTCTTCTGACTTACTCTACAATTCTCTTTGCATTTCTTTCATAACTGCGTTGTTTGCAATGCATGATCAACTAACACATCCAAGCTGCTCTTCTCACTTGTTGTCAGCTTACAACAAAAACTTCTCAGTGCTTAAGTAAATGACCTTACACATTACCTAATTTAATTGCTCTTACTCTCATCTCCAATGGAAATTTAACGTGTCTCTGTATGGACAATTTTTTTTGGTCAGCAGTGAATTTTATAAAGCTACTTTTGTAACATTTATCTCCTTGACCACTCTTGAAGGTGTTTCATCTCAGCAATCTGAGTTTACCTTGTAATGGCAGGATCTACAAAGTGCCTGTGTTCCAGTATTTTTTCAGGCAGCTCATCATGTTTCATGCAAGTTTTGATGTATGCTTTGAGAAGGCTGCTCTAATAGTGCAAGAGGGCAGAGCTTATGCTTTTTTTTTGTAGAGTTCTATTACACATCTGTGTGCTGGATATCAAGAAATATGACAGACTTCTTGCCATGCATTCAGGTTGCATGAAGAGAAGGCAGACTACTGCTGCTGAAGCCATGGGTATTTTTTTGCTTGCATAGACAAGCAATTGATCTGTGAAGCTGATGTGTTGCCAAGGGCTGAAAAAGATGTGCATCCACAGATAAGTCAACTTGAGGAAAGCTGAGAGGACTCTTTATGGTGAGCTGTAATCTTTCATAAGAAAAACCCAGGGCTTCAAGATGCAGTAACCCTCCCAATAACAGAAAGAGATGGCAGGCCAAGATGTAATTTGCAGGGTGGTGAGGGGTAGCAGTCACCACGTAATGCTTGGTATTGCTCTGTGCATTGTTCTGGCTGTGGGTTTGTCAGAATGTGAGAATGATTAAAAAGCAGCAAGTCTCTGCACCATGCTGCCCTGTAAGATATATTCTGCTACTGAGGGGATTCATCCTCTAACACTGTACCCCAGGCAGGCACAGGTCAGGGGTGCAAATCCAGATGCTTCAGCACTGCTTCAAGGAGGCTCCAGAAATAGATACAGGGGAGCAAGCAGATACCCAGCTTAGTCTGCTGATGTAAAGCCGAAGGGCAAAGTGGTACAAAGTGGTAAGTGCCAGCTTGAGAAGCAGTTGAAACCGTTATTTAATGAATTAATATCAGTGGAAAAGGAGAGAAGGTCGTCTGGAATATCTGGCTATGCAGCATCACAGAGCAACTGTGTGGACCAAGGAAATATCATGTCAGATGGCAGAATCTGGGGAAACAAGGAACAAGATGAGCACTTACGGGCATCTTCTTAACTAGTTTTCCCAAATATTAGCTCTACATATCTTGTTTCTGTCTTGATGAAAATAGAGCCACGCACGCTAATTTGAGTGGACTGGCAACAGGAACAGTGTATGGGTTGGAGATTAGGAGGAGGCCTTGGTGGGTTTCTTAAAAACAAACAGAAGCCCGAAGGAGGGGTGATGAGGGCAACTTCTCAAGCAGATGACTAGCGCACTAGAAGCCTGGAATGATGCCAAAATGCAAAATCTCACACTGATAGGTGTTGTAAGAACAAGGAGGTGTTTGACAGAGCTGGCAAAATCTGGGAAAAGAAGAAAACAAAAGCTAACACAAGTACCGTGAAAGATCAAGCAACAGAGCGTTTCTGTTTAACACAGAGGTTGAAAGTAAGTGGAAGGTAGATCTGCTCCTGCTTGTGTGTAATGCAGGAGGGAGATGAGGTGACTAATATATACCATGGGCAGACCTTCCAGTCCTTTGCTGTGGGACCACAGAAACTCACTGTCAGGTGGAACATGCAGGTTGAGAGAGCTACTGCCTTTCCCTGCTGTGCATTATTGTCAGTTAGATGTCCATTATCAGGTAGATCATATGAATGCCCAATGAGCAGTTAGCTGGTTGCTTGACTATAGCCAGCTATTAATAAATAAGTGAAAAGAATCAGGTGAAAAATTGTGGGGTTTTGTTATTGCTTGCTTGTTTGTTTGTTTTGTTTTGTTTTCTATTAAAAAAAATGCCAATACCTCTTAAAAAAAAAAAGAAAAAGAAAAAAAAAAGAAAAGAAAAAGAAATGGGACCTAGAAAAGTCATTTTAAGAGATCAGGCAAACAATGTACACATAACCCAGAGGTTCTTCAGTCAGTTAATAGATGATCGCAAACATTTTGGGAAACAGAGATGTTCCGTCTACTTTGGATAAAGCAATATGACCTGCACATTGACTGGTTAATTTGTAAATATACAAACCAGCTCCAGCAGCAGGACTGTGACAAGTGAAACTCCAGATACAAATCAAATAAGTGATGCAACATCAGACCGAGCCACCTAAAACTGGATACAAGTGCAGCAGTGAAATAGGCAGCAGCCAGTTATTACTGCCCCTGCTCATTGATCCCCTCAGGCTCACAACACTGTTGTGCCTGTAGCATCACTTTCATCCCCTTGTGGGATGACTTAAAGGAGGTTTCATGCTCTTCCTCAACTTAATGGATACTCTCTGCTACCCTTGGCCTTTCAAGAGCTCTGTCCAGGAGTGGACCTGACAGAGTAGCTGGGCAGCTGTAAGCTGCTTTCTGTACTTATGTGAGTGTTCATGCCTTGATATAGTTAGGAATGTAGACTGCTTACTTGCATGCTAACATATTCCATTCATGGTTTTTTTCAGAGCTTCCTAGACTGCATACCATTGAAAAGGGACTTTTTTTTTTTTTACTTCACCAATTATATCTGGTGACCTCAGAGGCAAATTTTGTACTCTAAAGCAAGTTTTATCTGTGCTTTTTCAGCACTAGTGGCAGGTGAGCTGCCTCAAGTGTCATGCCTCACACTGAGGTGGTTATGCACAGTGCATCTTTGTGTTGAGTTACCTCTGCTCTTCCCTGGTATCCAGCTCATGCTATATACAGAGCTCAGAATTCTCTAGGGTAATCTGGGTGTCCGTAGAGAGTTTTTGTTTTTCAAAGAAATTCTTTTGTGTAAGAAATGGTTAAGTCCACCATGTCTTTTAAGTTTTTCTGTACCAACTTTATGTTCTCTCAGAATCTCCTGCATGGCTTCAAAGGAGAAGCAAACTTCTGATCTTTCCCACCATGTGTATTGGTCTGCTTTGCAAGTTCGTCTATGCTCCATCTGTAGGTTAGAGCCTGCTTAGACTGTTGAGTGGCTCAGTGGTTGATGTTCTCTAAACTTCTGCTGTATGGAAGGTTCTGGAGGGGCAAGTGCATGAAAAGCACTTGCTGAGGCTTTGGTCACTCAGTCTGAACTGATTCCTCAATGGGTTTCTAAATCTTGTGTGTCGGATGTTTATGGGACTGGATTGGGTTCTTGAGGCTGCCGCTTCATGTAGTGCCGCTTGAACTTTTGCTTTCTTACTGCCTGGACTTAAGATGATTCTGTGAGGGTCAATGTTTTGTTTTAGTGAGATGATTATTGTAAAAATCTATTCAAAACCTCACACTGCCCGTGCCAGTTCTGTAGTCCATACCTTACTTACCTGGAGGGCCTTTTCCAAAGGTGCGTTGAGTACACTGTGCTATGATCGGGGACCTTGATAGACAAGCTACTCAGTGCTGCCATTGCACAGGTTTGCTTGTGGCCGTGTAGTCTTCCAGATTTACTTCCACTTAATTATCTAAAACCCTGATAGGGCATCTACTTCTTAAGAGATGAAATTTTGTTTTAATTCGCAAAGTGGTGTTTCACAACAACAGTGCTCCAAAAACCATTAGCCTTTTGGGATTAGTTTATCTTCACATTTAAGAACAAAAATCGTCCGGCTATGCAAGCTTGACGCCGAAAGTCAAGGACAGATTTACTATATAAGCACTATATAAGGAATTCCTGTTTTAATTAAGTTAAGGTTGAAGGTTCCTGGTTCAAACTTAAGAGTAAGATGTGTCTGAGCCTTGTGTCTTAAAAATCAAGTCAGCCTTGCAAAAAAAAAAAAAAATCAATATAATTGTCTTTTTAGCTATCAAGTTGCAGTAGAGAGAACCTGAGATGAATCTCTGCACATTCTGTTCTTCTTTCTTAGTAATGGGCATAAAGGATCCATAGCAAGTCAGATTGCCACTTGTGTCTGTTGTCCTAGTTGCTGGCAGTCATGACTTAACAGCGACCAAAAATGCTGAAGCTGCCAAAGCAGAAATGACCTGTAACTTGCTTGTACAAGAGCAGCACAGCTTAAATTATCAGCTGAAATAGTATTGTACTCATTTCTTTCAAGAAATACTTTATAGGTCAAAAGCAAATTATACCTGTGATTGTCCGAGGGAAAAAGTTATTTTTTTATTTAGGGAAATTCTTTAAATATGGGTTATCTTAAATTTGATGTTTTTGAACAACCATATGTTTAAAGAGAGTTAAAAATATATATATGAACTTCTTAATATCTTGTGTAAAGGGCC